AGTAACTGCAGTGCTTTGTTGCAGAGGTTTGCTGCTGACAGTTGGCAAAGGGATAGGTTCTGCAGAGTGAGACACTTGACTTTCAGAGGAGACCGTTGCAGGGTTTTGCTGAAGCCAAGCAGTGAACATGGGAGTTGCAGAAGCTGTATGTAAGTTGGCATAAGTATCTGAGCAAGGGAAGAAGTTTTCATCAAAGATGACGTGACGACTGATGTAGACACGCCCAGTTGGTGGATAAAAGCATCTATAGCCTTTATACTTGTCAGTGTAGCCAAGAAAGACGCACAACAACGACTTCGGATCAAACTTGTTCTGAGAGTAGGCTCGCAGAGTAGGGTAGCATGCACATCCAAAAGTTCTTAATGCTGAGTACTCAGGGACCTTGGCAAAGAGCATTTCATATGGACTTTTGGAGGTGTCAAGAGCAGTTGTTGGAAGCAGATTACTCAAGAAGTTTGCAGTGAAGAATGATTCAACCCAAAACCTCTGTGGAACCTTGCTTTGGAACAATAGAGTGAGGCCATTTTCTGTAATTTGTCTATGCTTTCTCTCAGCCAAACCATTTTGCTCAGGAGTGTGAGGACATGAGATATGTTGTTGTATGCCAGATTCTTGAAGATGTTGTAAGAACTGTTGACTTGTAAACTCTCCCCCTCCATCACATTGGAATGTACCAATCTTATGTTGCAGCAAATTCTCAACAAACTTTTGAAACTTGATGAAAACTGAGCAAAAATCTGATTTCCTTATTAATGGATAAAACCAACAGAATCTGGAGTATTGATCTATGAATATTACATAGAACCTAAATCCTTGAACTGATGGAACAGGAGAGGGACCCCATAGATCACAATGTACTCTTTCTAGGGGTCTGGATGCTTTAAAAACAGAAGAAGAAAATGGCAACTTTGTACTCTTTCCAAGCCGACATGCTTCACAAAGCCTGTTGAAACTCTTCTTTATTTGAATTGCCTTATTTGTTGATAAAATCTGAAGGACCTGAGGATTAGGGTGTCCTAAGCGCCTGTGCCAAACCTCATCACTGGTAGAGATCTGCCTAGTAGAGTAGAACACCTTATCTTTGGGACTCTCCAGCAAGTATAGACCCTCATCACTTGTGCTTCCCATTGTCAGAACTTTTTGAGTTGCCTTGTCCTTAACAACAACACCATCACAATCAAAAGTGAAACAACAGGGATAGTCATTTGTTAACTTGTACACAGACAGCAGAGATTTAGCAATATCTGGACAAACTAAGACATCCTTCAAAGGTAGATTACCTGATGCAGAGGGAAGTTTAGCAGATCCAATATGAGTTATGGGAAGAAAGTTACCATCACTTGCCATGACAGTGTCTGAGCCATGGTAGGGTTGAACCTGTTGCAACTGCAGAGGTGAGTTTGTGATGTGAGCTGTTGCTGCTGTGTCTGGATGCCATCCATTTTCATCAGTAACATCGGTTATGTGCATCGCAGCCAAGGCAGCGGCTGTAGCTTCTTGTTGCTGGTAGCTATCATCAAATCTATGCCAACACTGTAGAGCAGGATGACCTCTCTTACCACAGATCTGACAGGTAGGGCGTTCGCCAGAGCTGTTGGAGCTGAACTGTTGATGAAAGCCACGACCGCGAGTGGAGTAGTTGGTGCGACCTCGGCCTCTGTTTCCACGACCTTGAGACTGTCCACGACCTCTGTTTGCAGTGTTTGTAATGTAGAATGCCAAGTGTGGAGAGACTTCAGTCGAGGCAGCATAGCTTTGGAGGCGATCATCATACCCTTTCAGACGATAGGCAATGTCTTCATAGGTTGGTTCTGGTACAGAATCCAAAGTGGTCTCGAGGGAAGTGATCAGAGGTTCATATTCACGGGTTAGACCGTGAATCATGACGAAAACTTTCATCTTTTTAGTGACAGGACTTCCAACGGAGGAGAGCTGGTCACACACGTTCTTGAGGTCACGCAGATACTCATCCATGGTTTTGCCTTCTTTAGAGATACCATGGAGGCGACGCTGCAGCTGCAGAACACGAGAGGAAGAGGTTCTGTTGAAATGACTAGCAAGGTTAAGCCAGACTTCTGAAGAAGTTGAGGAACCGACAACCACACTGAGGATATCTTCTGACAGAGACCCTAGTAACCACGCCATAACAACTTGATCTGAGCGATTCCATGCGAGATAATCAGGATTAGGAGCGGAAGCAGAGGCACGACCTTCGATCTGAGGGACTTCAATGGTTGATGGCGGAGCAGTGATGGCGCCAGAGACAAAACCGAGAAGGCCTTGACCAGAGAGAAAGGATTCAAACTGTGACTTCCACAGAATGTAGTTGCGCTCTGTGAGTTTCACAGTAACACAATTTGAGATATTGAGAGAAGGATACGAATAGAGCTCGATAGGTTGAGCCATGAGGCTCTGATACCATGAAGAAATTGAAAGATTTTGTGATTTTATTGCTTTCAACCTTAGTTTCCAAATACAGCCCATATTACATATTTATAGCATACAAAGGATTAACCTAGAGTATCCAATGATTGCTGAGCTGTCTTTTGGTTTTGATTTCACGCGTCTTGGTCGTTGTCTTGTAGCATCTGAAATCTGTTGCTCACCTTGACCTCTGTACGATTTGGTGATAAGGCTCCCTCTGCAAATGCTCTGCTTTTGTCTTTTACTGCAGGTGACCGTTGCAGAGGTTTGCTTTCATAGGTGGGCTTGGACAGTTGCGGAAGCGCTTTGGGCTTTTCTGATTTGAGGCCTTTTTGCAAAGCCTTGCCGTTTTGTGGATTGCTGTTGAAACTCTGGAAACGCGAGCCAAACATCTTAGAGCTATCTCATCTGGTAACAAAGATAACCCATACAACGACGGAGACGTCTTCTTCCTCCTTTTACTGTTCGGTGGCAATTCTGGAGCGTAAGAGTTGAGCATCATCGTCTGTTGAATGATCAGTTTCAATTAACAACACAAAACCTCCTTTTATTTTTGTCGGATCTCTCTATGATCCGGACATAAACTGTTTTATAGAGATTTGTGGTTCTGATTTCTGAATTGAATTAGGAATAAGATTAAAACCTTTTTTATTTTTGTTCTGTGTTGATATAGTTGCCGATTACTTCCCTTTATTCTATAATTATCAGAACATATATTATATATACCCTCTTTTTTCTAGAGATCGAAAATATATATATATATATATATATTAAATAAATTACATTTTTTTTTGGAATTTTCCCAAAATTTTTAGGAGAAATTTCAAAAATACTTCTTTTTTAATATCACTTTTTAAAAATATCTCTCTTTCTAATTTTATTAAAAAATTATTATAAATTTTGAAATTTATCAAAAAACTATGTGTAAACTTATATTTAAAGACACAAATTATCTTTATATGTGTGTAAATTTACATATATATTTCATAAATACCGTATAAATACCTTTTAAAAATCATTTAAAAACCTTATAAAAACCTTGTAAATCTTTTAAAAACCTTATAAAAACCTTATAAAAACCGTTTAGAACCTTTTAAAATTTTATAAATATTTCGATTTAATCTCCCAGTTGTAATGATGATCTTGATGTACATTATCAACCATATAAAAATTTATAATTTTTCATATTTGAAAAGAGGTATTTGTGAAAATAGATAGAAAAGAGTGGTATTTTTAAAAAGGTAGACCAAAAGAGGCATTTCTCAAAAAATCTCAATTTTTTATTGTCTCTAAACTTTTGATATGTCCACAATATAGATTCTTACAATTTTTTTTTTTAAAGACACATGCAAATGTTCTTAGAGCCAATTTAACAACACAAACACATAGCCTATTGTGTTCTCAGTACTATACTTCAAGTAAGCAAAAGTATAATTTGTGTAAAATGTGTTCTTAGCAGTCAGTAATATGCTTCAGGTAAGCAAAAACATAACTTCACTGTGTTCTAATCGTTTTTTATCACAAACTCTAACTTCTCAGATATATTCACGAATTGTTTTGCTTCCTCTAATCTTCTTCAATCCTAGCTACTCATCAGGTCCTCCTGCAATACATCACAACACAAGCAAGCAAGTGCGTCAAGTAAACCTGAAATTCTTGGCAAATTGAAACAAATTTCAACTACTGCTATGCCTATTTTATAATAAAAATACATAGGAAATGTGTAGCAAGTATGCTACAAAATCCACTAGTATGCTAAGTTTTGAAAGTCTTTAATCGATGATCTTTTTTGCTTTTAACAGCTGTGGTGCAGTCAGGCATAACACTTGTTATATGATATTTTGTAATCGTCATTGTACAAGTTCAAATGATTATCCACAATATCCATAACATCAAAAAACATTGTTTAAATTCGTGCCAGTATAAAATTTTGTCAATTTTTTTAAAAATGATTTAATCTATGTTAAGAGAAATATTTGTATTTAATATAAAAATATACATTAGAATATATTTTATATTTAATTTAAATTAGTTATCTAGTAATATGATTATATGCCTATTGATATATATATCCACAATTCCACATTGTTATTGATTATTTTGTGTCAATAGTTATTATTATTTTATTTTGTTTGGTAAACAAATATAATTAAGAAGGATAAAGCTCATGTTGAGTTTGTCCTTTGGTGTAGTCAAGAATTTCACATCTAATCTATTTATTTCATTTGACTAAATAATGTACATCATAAGAAAGCAAAAAGCATATAGTTAGGAGAATAGACCTTGATGTCATACCATAAAATCTCTTCTTACGTTGGCGGTTTAAATATTTTCATGCAATGACACGTGTCCAATCAAAAACGGTTATTTAAAAACAGAATCATCGTCACTCTCCTTATCCCACTTGGTGGCCTCTCCACATCCCTCAGAACTTTGTTTTGTACTCTTCTTTCTTTGTCTTCAACTTTCTCCAGGTTTCTCGGCTCTTTCCTTCTCTCTCTCTCTCTATGTAACCAAGATTAATAATCAAATCGTTGTTGGAGAGATTGAACTCGTAACAACAAGTCCCCGAAATAATGAGACCTTACACCTTCTTCGAGAGACTATCCAAAGCTTTCCATGATTCTGCTTCTCTTTCCAAGATTCTCGTCGTCTCCACCATCAGGTCACTATACCATTTTCTTCCTCTATTCATATCTGTATACTTCACGTCTTCATTTCGCTGTTTCAGTTTGTCTCAACTTCTCATTTGTGCTTCTCTATCAATTTGCTCTGTTTTGGCATGTATTGATCTGTTTACTCTGTTTTTGGCGTGAATTGATCTGCATAATGTTACTCTTGGAATTACGTTAAGATAGTATGTAACTAAATATTTATATTTTCTAAGTGGTGGGGGACTTATGGTCTACTCTGAGGCAAATGCATCCTATAGCAACAATGGTGTTGAGACTGGAACAAAAAGAAAGAAAAAGGTTGTGTTGCTTGGAACTGGATGGGCTGGAGCAAGTTTTTTGAAGAGTTTGAATAACTCCTCTTATGAGGTTCAGGTTATATCGCCTAGAAACTACTTTGCTTTCACACCCTTGTTACCTAGTGTTACTTGTGGAACTGTTGAAGCTCGCAGCGTTGTTGAACCTATTCGCAACATTGCAAGGAAGGTAACTAATACACTCTTCTTAATCCCTAAGTACCTTCTTTTGGAAAAACATCTTTTAGGAACTTATTTTACCATCAGTTTGTTGCACCAGTTTTTCTTATTGTAATGTTTGTATTGTTGACAACCAACTAAAGCCAACTTTGTCTTGTGTGTCTTGTCAAGTAGAATGTTGAGATGTCTTTCTTGGAGGCAGAATGTTTCAGAATTGATCCAGGAAGCAAGAAAGTGTACTGCCGATCTAAACAAGGCCTGAATTCGAATGGGAAGAAAGAATTTGATGTTGACTATGACTTCCTTGTAATTGCTACTGGAGCTCAGTCCAACACATTTAACATTCCTGGCGTGGAAGAGAACTGTCATTTCCTCAAAGTTAGTATCTCTTAGCTCTTTAAAAGTTTTTTTGTTCCACTAGTCATATTATTTTACAAGTTGGAGAAGTGTGAAATAACTATTCAACTGTCTATATGGATGTAAAGGGTTTTATGTTTTTGTTTTACATGGCTCTAAGATATGGTGGCTGGCTTGCAGGAGGTTGAAGATGCACAGAGAATCCGTAGCACTGTCATTGATTCATTTGAGAAGGCAACTTTACCGGGATTAAACGAAGAAGAGAGAAAGAGAATGCTACATTTTGTTGTTGTTGGTGGTGGACCAACAGGTGTTGAGTTTGCTTCTGAGCTTCGTGATTTTGTTAACGAGGATCTAGTCAAACTCTATCCTAAAGCCAAGAACTTAGTGCAAATCACTCTTCTAGAGGCTGCAGACCACATCTTGACCATGTAAGTGTTTTCTTACCTCGAAAACTTTTGATGTATAACCAAAGTCTAACTCATGTTCCGAGGAACCTTTTCTTTCACAGGTTTGACAAGAGAATTACAGAGTTTGCTGAGGAAAAATTTGGTAGAGATGGTATTGATGTGAAATTGGGTTCTATGGTGGTCAAAGTCAATGACAAAGAAATTTCTGCGAAAACCAAAGGAGGAGAGGTCTCTACTATTCCTTATGGAATGATTGTTTGGTCAACTGGTATTGGGACTCGTCCTGTGGTCAAAGATTTTATGAAACAAATTGGTCAGGTGAGTGAGCAAATGTCTTAGATATGAGCTTTACACATTACAATATTCATCATTTCATAGTAACTGAGTTTTATCAACACAGTCTAAGATGTTTTTTTTTGTAATTTCCAGGGCAATAGACGTGCTTTAGCGACAGATGAATGGCTCCGGGTTGAAGGTTGTGATAACATATATGCACTTGGTGATTGTGCAACAATCAACCAAAGAAAAGTCATGGTAACCAAACTGATCAGAACCTAGATAAATTGAGCTAGCCGTTATGTATAGGGGTTCTCTGTTTCTTATATTTTTGGATTGTGATTGTTTTTTGTGATTGTCTTTTTCAGGAAGACATAGCTGATATATTCAAGAAAGCAGATAAGGAAAATTCAGGAACATTGACAGTGAAAAAATTCCAAGAAGTAATAGATGACATATGTGATAGATACCCTCAAGTGGAGCTCTACTTGAAGAGCAAAGGTATGCATGGGATTGCCGATCTTCTAAAACAAGGACAAATTGAGAATGGTTCCAATAAGTCCATTGAACTGAATATAGAAGAACTTAAATCGGCTCTTTGTCAAGTCGACTCACAAGTGAAGTTTCTTCCAGCTACTGCACAGGTTTGTTCTGTTTTTACTAACTTGAAAGTCACGTTTTCAGTCACAAGTAGGTGGTCACACTTTGTTTGCTTTCATCCTTTTGACTGGTGGCTTCTATAAGGTTGCAGCTCAACAAGGCACTTACCTTGCAAAATGCTTTGACCGTATGGAACAATGCGAGAAGAACCCTGAAGGTCCCATTAGGGTAAGAGGAGAAGGTCGTCATCGTTTCCGTCCCTTCAGGTTGGATCCAAATATGTATCTTAGACGCTTAGTCATTGAGATTGCAATGTCAGTAAATGTTTTATAGACTTAAAAGTAAGGAAAAAAATCAAAATGTGTTATACAGGTATCGACATTTAGGACAATTTGCTCCATTAGGAGGCGAACAAACAGCGGCCCAACTTCCAGGAGACTGGGTGTCGATAGGACACAGCAGTCAATGGCTGTGGTACTCCGTTTACGCTAGGTAATATTGTTGTTTGACTAGTAATGTAATACAAAAAAAAAGTATTCATAAAACTTTCAGTATTATTTGTTTTGGTAACATGTTTATAATATAACAGTAAGCAAGTGAGCTGGCGAACGAGAGTCCTGGTGGTCTCAGACTGGATGAGGCGATTCATCTTTGGGAGGGATTCAAGTCGCATATGAAAAATCTCAAGTCTCTCTCAAGTCTCAATAGTCTTGGTTCTTTACTTTTCAAATAAAAGCAAATCAACGTGAAGATGTTAAAACTTCCTTTGGTTAATTCACTACACTACTCTTGTGTACGCTATAGCGAAATAAAACGTGGAAGAATCAACTGATAGAAAAATAGATGATTCTATTATCTTTCAAACTTTCATAGATTAATTCATTACAGCACACAGTCTACTGTCTTCCTTATATGTAGATTCACATTTTACAATGTACGAAGATGTGTAGTCTAGTCAGAAAATACATTGTTAGATCTTTATTCTTATCCTATTTACCCTATACATGATATATATATACAGTATCAATTATGGGAGGTTGAAATTATAGGAAAATCTTCTGGCAATACGTAATACTAAAATTGTTCATCTTCCTTAATAATAAACGTAAAAGACAAAAGCTAACCTACCAAAAACACACACCCCTTAACTACACTATAATCGCGAACTCTCTACGTAAGTGGAAACTACAAAAATTCAAATTCAACCATTCACACACTCCCCATAATTTAATCCATATCGTTGAATTTATTATTGCACGTTTTAGCGTTAGCCTTCTACTAATATACTAAATAGTAAGATTACTTTATACTAATATGATATTTTTGAAGAGTTTCCCCGGATTCAGAAAAAAAAAATGTACAAAAAAAATTAGTATATACTACTTGACTAACTAGAATTGCTTATCCTTTTTTTTGGATTTATTTCCATGTCAAGCTCTATTGGTGTTATAGTTTCTACCACAAAATTATTATTGTCTTCTTGTTTTGGCAACAAATGAATTTATTATTTCTTAAAAAGAGAAAGTAAAATAAAAAATAAAAATTAATCCACAGCTAATTACAGTAATTGGTTGACAAAAAAAAAAGAAGCTAATTACAGTACATACTTGCTTTTCCCTCAGTTTATATAAACACATTTAAACCTTCATAAGTTCATATCACCTTGTTTACTAACAAAGAAGGAACACATAGTAAAACACTAAAATGCCCTCGGTCGGAATCGTCATCGGAGATGGCAAAAGGGAGTACCCCGGCAACCTCACTCCTTACGTCACCGTGACATGTATCGTCGCCGCCATGGGTGGTCTCATCTTCGGTTACGACATCGGAATCTCCGGTAAGTACTCTTTCCCTCATCTCATCACATCTAACGTAACGCTCGTAAGAGAAAAAAAAAAAACAAAAAATGTTCTTTAAAGTTTTTAATTTGTTCCTGTCGTGTATTAAGGTGGAGTGACGACTATGGAGTCGTTTCAGAAGGAGTTCTTCCCGTCGGTTTACGAGCAACAGAAGAAGGACCACGTGTCAAACCAGTACTGCAGATTCGACAGCGTTCCTCTCACTCTCTTCACCTCTTCTCTCTACTTAGCCGCGGTCTGTTCCTGCGTCGTCGCCTCCTACGTCACCCGTAAGTTTGGCCGGAAGATTTCGATGCTTCTCGGCGGAGTTCTCTTCTGCGCCGGAGCTCTTCTTAATGGTTTTGCTACCGCTGTTTGGATGCTCATCGTTGGCCGTTTGTTACTCGGTTTTGGTATCGGATTCACCAATCAGGTCCTTACTTTTTATCTACTATTACATTCTTGACCTCATACTTTATTTTTCTATAACATAGATCCATTTAGCTTTGTTACTTTTGGCTAGTAAATTCAATTGTAACCTTATACTTTATTATTTTACATTATACACCCTTTGGACCTTAAGTTTGTGTGAGACTATTTTTTAATTTCGTGACCTTAAGTTTTTTAGGATATTACAAGATAACCTCAATACTTTTTTCAAATTTGTAGTCTGTACCGTTGTATCTCTCGGAGATGGCGCCGTATAAATACAGAGGAGCATTAAACATCGGATTCCAGCTCTCGATCACTATTGGTATCCTCGTCGCCAACGTTTTGAACTTCTTCTTCTCCAAAATCCGCGGCGGATGGGGATGGCGGCTTAGTCTCGGCGGCGCCGTCGTTCCAGCTCTCATTATCACCGTCGGTTCCCTTATCCTCCCGGATACACCAAACTCCATGATCGAGCGAGGTAAATTTAAGCAAGCCGAAACGAAGCTCCGTAAGATCCGAGGCGTCGACGATGTTGAAGCCGAGATGAACGACTTAATCGCCGCCAGTGAAGCTTCGAAGCTCGTTGAGAATCCATGGCGAAACTTGTTGCAGAGGAAGTATAGACCGCATCTAACGATGGCGATTCTGATCCCTTCGTTTCAGCAGCTCACTGGAATCAATGTCATCATGTTTTACGCGCCGGTTCTGTTCCAGACGATCGGTTTTGGTAACGACGCGGCTCTGATGTCGGCGGTTGTGACCGGTTTGGTTAACCTTGGAGCGACGGTGGTCTCGATCTATGGCGTTGATAAGTGGGGAAGACGACTTCTCTTCCTTGAAGGAGGATTACAAATGCTCATTTCTCAGGTTTTCAATTTCATCTCTTAACCGGGTTTTGATTCGGTTATGGTAAATTAATCCGGTTATTATGTCACTGATTTAGGTAGCTGTTGCGGTGGCGATCGGAGCTAAGTTCGGCGTTGATGGGAACCCAGGTGATTTACCAAAATGGTACGCCATTGTTGTGGTCTTGTTCATATGCATCTACGTGTCGGCGTTTGCTTGGTCTTGGGGTCCTCTTGGATGGCTAGTTCCTTCGGAGATTTTCCCGCTGGAAATACGATCAGCGGCTCAGAGCATAACGGTGTCGATGAACATGATCTTCACGTTCATAATAGCTCAGGTGTTTCTGATGCTGCTTTGCCACCTGAAGTTCGGGTTGTTCATATTCTTCGCGTTTTTCGTGTTGGTGATGTCCATTTTCGTCTACCTTTTCTTGCCGGAGACAAGAGGTGTACCGATCGAGGAGATGAGTAAAGTCTGGAGATCACATTGGTATTGGTCAAGGTTCATTGATGCCTGATGAGCCTTACGGACCATGTTATTGAAATATCTTTTGGTTAATTATTAATAAATGTTGTCTTTTGTCTTCAATCAAGCAAAGAGTCTGAGAGTAAAAGAACAATCAGGACTGAGAACAATGCAAGCCTGAATTGAGTTCTGAAAACATTCAGAGAGTATAAATTGTTATCCTATTTAAAAATCAAAGATTCAAGAATGTGAGAAAACAAGATTTTTACATGTATGATTTTATCATTTCGTCAGATAGGGATCATTCTTGAACTTAGCATATGATGGAAGATCAAGAGCTCTCTCTGCAACTTCTCTGTCCTCGTGAATCTTTGCGACTAGACTTTCCAGTGAAGTGAAATTAGCCTGGCAATAATAGAAAACAATATGAGCCAACAGCTGAGTATTGCATTAAACTACAGTCATGAATAATGGATAATGAATTCGATGATGATAACCTCAGGGCGTATATAGCCAACGATTATAAGACGTAACTCTTCTCCGTAGAAATCTTCCGTGAAATCGTGAAGCAACCATGGCTCCTATGTAACCAGAGCTAAGTTAAAGAAAGCAACCATTACAGGAGGATAAAGTCTGAAACTTTTTATCAATGAACTCACAATAGTTTTCTCCTTGTTATCGAAAAAAGGATTCCAACCGATGCTCATGACCATTTTGTAAACACCTCTCGTTGGCAATCCCGCCCAGCCAAAGTACACTCCCGAAGGATGTTCGACTAGCTCATTCGCATAATCCTTTGTTGACAAGTTAGCTGAAAACAAATGCAATGCAACGATAAGCGAATAGACCATATAAATATACAGTGAGGAAAAAGAGTTATGTTCAATAATTTTTAAAACTGACCTGTGGGGATTCCAAGTACTTTAGAGCCACGGCCAAATCCTTTAATAACTGGACCTCCAATATGCCATGGATCAATTGGTAAAGTGTTCTCTATCCCTGCAAATACAAATTACAAGGTTAAAAGTCTTTTTTACCGAGATGAACAGAACAGAAGTATTGAACAGAGTTTGTGAGTTGTTTTTTTTACAATCTTGAAATGGAGGTAGACCCCATTTTTCTGGTCTTATGTCGAGTAGTGAATTGATGATTTCATCAGCACATGTATAAAGATGTGTTTGTTTAGGCAGAGAAGGAACAGCAATAACTTTCATCCCAGCAGCTTTACCAGCCATAACACCAGGCCTGCCATTTCAACTAACTGTTACTAAAAAGAACCAAACACAATTGCAAAAAATGATAACAGTAAAAGTGAGTCTCACACAGAATCTTCAATAACCAAACAGTCCTCTGGATCTTTATTCAATCTTTTAGCTGCTTCAAGAAAACTTTATACAAAAACGATCATTGTCATTAGAATTGTAAACTAACAAACCAGTCTTTCGTTCCATTGAAATCAATAAATCAAAACTGGATAGGGCTTACATATCAGGAGAAGGCTTTCCTTTGGAAACTTCATCACGACCAACAATAACCGAGAAGCACTCCTTCCAACCTAAAGAAAAATGAAATCTTTCTCATGAAACAAATCTACCAATACAAGATAATGCATCAAAGTAACAATCATCTTCATAAAAGCTGTTACCTTCATGATGAGAAATTTTGGTTTCAATATTTGCCCTTGAAGAATTGGAAGCCAATGCCATAGGCACTCCATGACACTTCAAATGTCGAATCAACCGAGTGGCACCAGGAAGGGACTTGATCTTGTCCATCCTACAAAAACACAAAAACTTCAAAACTTCAAAACCAGAAGAAAACAACAATTTGGAAGACAAACGAAGAGAGAAGCAAAAAGTAACTTACTGAGCAGAGAACAAAGGGTAGAATTCAGAGTTGAATTCATCAACTCCACAAGGAAGTCCATAATCTTCAACAATGGTAGTAGCAGCTTCTAATGGAGTTTGCCCAACTATTTTCAGTGATTCTCTTCCATCCCACTGTTTACCATATTTACACAAGTATTTCCTCAATATGTCTCCCACAACACCATCTACAATCAAAATTCAAAAAGACATCAAATTCAAATTCAAATATCGAAGTTACATAAAGAGCAATTGAAACAATTCTATTGATTTCGTTAATCTACCTGTGTTGAGTAGGGTACCATCGAGATCAATAAGAACACAAGAAGAGAGCTTCTTCAAGGAATTGCTCATCGACATTTATTCCAATTACAAATTATATTTCACACTTCTTTTACACTCTGTAAATTTACAATCGCCCACCTGAGCTGCGACAAATTTTAGATTTGCGGCGACTCGTTAACGCCGGCGAACGAATTGAGGACGACGGAGAAGTGACGCCGCAGAGTATAGAGGAATGAAATAGGAAGGGCTGAGAAGACGTACACGTATAAGCTTTGCCTAGGGGCTAGGGATTAGCATCTCCAGTTCAGATACCTTAATCAAAATTCCGGTCCTACCGGATCATTCGAAATTAATACTCGGTCTGACTGATTTTGACCGGTACGGATTCAACTAACGACACGACGATGTTTCATCAAAATCTCAAGAGTCAAGAGAAGCTTCTGTACGACCGGTTAAGGGGAAAATTGAACGGTTCAAATTCAAAACGGTCGACCGGTTAATTATTCAACGCTTAATTGGAGAACTTTAAATTTTGATTTTAATACACATCCTCAACTCTGTTTTTTAATTAGTCTTCTTAACATGAACAATTCATTATCAAACCCCCAAGTTTACATTCCTTTTTTTACATGAAAAAGTTTCCTTCACTGTCTTTTTTCTTTTACCAACATGGTCTTTAGATTGCATTATCAATCTAGAAGTTAGCAGATAAATTCAATATAGTGGTAGCCTCTTCTTCTTCTTCTTCTTCACAAGTACTTGCTTTTGTCCTGAGAAGGAGCTTTTAAGTCTCAGACAGAGTCAACTCCTTCGCCTTGTTGTTGTGCAAGATATCTCTCTCGACGCTCCTTCTGTATTTTGATTAGAGGAAAAGACACAAACACAGTGTCAGATTTTCACAATCATCTAACGGAAGAGACAAGGGAAGAGACTCTGAAACCGTAAATGTGACTGACCCATTCATCGATCACAAGCCCTTCTCCAATCATCTTTGGACCTGTTTCCTCTGGCGGTTTCTTCCGGGCCTCCACCGCTGCATCTGCTTCTGCTAACTGACGCTTCAGTTTTTCGAGTGCCTAGTTCATTCATCATATAGATAATTAGACTATTAGAGACTGAACCCCTAAATATAACAATCAGTGTTATTATGAATCCACTTCATAAGCATAATGATTTTAGTACTCACAGGGTTGGGACGTTCAGGATCAAGGAAAATCACACGCAATATTTGCTCCTTAGACACATCTTCCTTTTGCTCATCAAACTGCGAAAAAACAAAAATAAAAACATTGTGATATGCCTTGGATACAAAATTCAGTGGAAACTTAGAAATGTAAGAAGGTAACAAACAATATGAGATATGTCACTAGAACACATGCTTGGTTATATGTGTAAGCCTTAAAAAGCATTCTTAGTATAGTCATCGATATCTTTAGTTTTATCTAGACTCTTACATGTTGTAACTACCATTTTCATTTTCAAAGAACAGCTTATAAACAACATCATAAGATTCAACGTACCAGCTCAGGGACATAGTCCATTGGACCTTTCACCTTCAGGCTCATGATTTTGAACTTAACTCTGCTCCTTTGATCCATTGGCTTCTCATTATTCTCAGGAGGCTCAACAAATTTGAACACTGTACATTTCAACAAGAGAACAATTGAATAAGCCATTGTTCTGATAACCTCATCAAGAAGAAAAAAGAACACAGGGGAGAAAAAAAAAGAAAACAATTACCAGTAGCGATGATAGTTTCTCCAGGAGCAAGAATAGCACCGGGTGGACGCATGAAGCAACTCTTCGGTGCAGTTGTTTGAAACTGAAGAGCAACAAGTAAGCACATATACAGAAACGCAAAACACACAGAAAACCAAAACAGTTAGATCAAAAACTAACCTTGAAGGCTACATGTGATTTGCTGGTATTTTTAATCTTGATGGCACTCCTTACTTGCTTCCCAGGCTCATCTTCAAAACAAATTTATAATCTAATTCAGTACTCCGCAGCATTACTTGTAACAGTAAACAACTAAACTTCCCAACGCCGAAATATCATGAAATGAACTCCTGGCCTATTAATATCTTCCTGAAAAATCATTTGATACCTAAAATGATTCATTTCTATCTATAAAGACTCCTAATTTAAGCCATTTATAGGATTATGGACCAATTAAGAAGTTAAACTTTTGATTAAAAACTCCTATAAACTCCAAAAAGTTTAAAACTTTATGTTTTCCCGTTGAGTCAATATCAATTTTCTACAATCAGATCACTCAAATACTCAAGATTCTACTAAAATTTTGGACTAATGTCAATGGATCTCGAGTATTCAGCAACAAACCCTAGAAGACGAAGAAACAAAAAAAAAAAGACGTAATTACGATTCGCAAAAAAACTCACAGGGAAAATAAAGTTTCTCAGAAGGATCAAGCTTCAATCTCCGTTTAGTAGGAAGAAACGACTTAGCAACAGAAGAAACCGAAGGTGAAGGAGTCGGGTGCTGATTCTGACCCGATCCATCACCATGAGGCCCGTTATAACCAAGCTGATGATGATGATGGTGGTGGTGCGGATGATGTTGTTGCTGTTGGTGCTGATGATGATGGTTGTGGAGATGAGAAGAAGTAGAAGAAGAAGAAGAAGCTCCAGATGGAAACGGAGACGTGGCAGCACTAGAAGCGTTGTTTCTTCCGTGACTTGTTGAAGAGTTGCGAAATGGGATTTTGAAGAAACCCCAACCTCCTTTGCCGTCGGAGGATGGTTTCTCCTCCGTCGTCATAGTCATTTTCTCCTCTCTCTCAACGGTTGTTTTGAAGCACGCGAATTGCGACGGAGAAAGGAGTTGACTTGTGAAGAGAGAGAGATCGGACGTGAGATGGTGAGAGGAAGTGGATTTAATTGGTTGATTTCGCGTCCGTGTTTTTGTTGATTTGTCTGATTTTTTTTTATTGTTTAATTAGTAAATCCGATGGCTTGATTAGCGGATTTTGGAAGTGGAGAGGTGAATTTAAAAAGTAGGATTAAGACATGTTTCAATACGACAGCGTATTGGATTCTTCTTTGTTATTGTTTTTATAATCTTTCTTCTACGAACTTTTGGATTCTCTCTTTCCAAGTCTTTATTTTTTCTTTGTTTTGTTTAGTGTTGTCTTTTTCTCAAGTCGTTTTCGTGGTTTGTAGATAAATTCAAACTTTTTCTTATATTTTTTTTGGTGGAAAGGTATAAAAGAGAAAGATGATTACGCGTAAAGAGAGCTTTCTCATCTTAAGTTATGTATCGATTCAAAAACAAGACTTAACAAACCCTTGAATCTTCCTAGATGACGTCGCACAACTCCAAGAGTCTTTATAGTCAAAGTCGAAGCCAACCTCAAGAGTCTTCCTCAAACCGAGCCAATATGAATTTTATGTATTGTAGGAGGAGTTAACAATGAGTTTATTAATTTCCTAGTCATAACCACCATATTAGATTTAGACTTATGATAGGTGTTCGCACACATTCATTCACCTTGTTGATGAAGAAACTGACACATATCTTCAATATATTAGGTTCAGATGATTTTCAATGGATATGATGAAACCCTTAAATTAATGTAACAAAAAAGTAGAAGAATAATCAAAATGGGAAATCGGGGTCATCCCATTAAAGAACAGCAGATTTGATGTTGTGCTCTCTCTTGAGCTTGTCCTTGAGGAACCAGTCACATATTTTGCCTCCATTCAACTCTTCTGTTGAGCATCCTTCTTGCTCCGATATCATTCTTAATAAGTTCAACGACGATATTTGTCCAATAAAATCCGATATTTCATCTAAAAGACTATCTTTCAATGTATGCTTTTTTCTTCTTTTCAAAATATGCCATTATTTTAATGTAAATTAGTCATTTGATAATCTGTCTATACCAATATTATCCAATTTTGAATCAAAACAACAAACTTAATCGATTGAAATTAAATTAGGGATTGCAAGTAATTTCTCAAATTTAATTTACCGGTTAGTCGACAGATAAACTTCTCGTGAGCACCAAGGCCGGAGATTTCCACAAGACCGGCCTCTGCTAAGCTCAAAAAACTTCTTCTCTCAGGTATGCTTCTCAGGTATGCTTTGATCGCCTGATTCTTCTTCTCCAGCAGATGCTCTTACCAAACACAGTCTTCTTCTTCCTTGTGTTCTTGGCATGGATGTAATATTATTTGATCTTACTGGTCGAGACCCTCAGGTGCTCACTAGTGCTTTGTCTCTACTGTGACAATGGGAACTATTCTAAAATAATGCACAGTTTACCACACCAGTGGTGAGACATACTCAGCAGTCACACTCGCACCATATCCAATTTTTTGCTAAGTCACGTGGACTAACATTATTTAACATATGAGGCCAGACAAATAAATATATGGGCCTGAAGACGACTAGAGATGAAACGTTACAAAAGCCCAGAGTATTATAATTATACCAACCAAGAATTTAATTGAATTTGAAAGAATTATTCCATTATTAATTTATTATGCGTTTCGTGAAATCTTTTATATAAATGTGTTATTGGATTGGGTGATTGTATCCATATTTTAAATTTTAGTGTTATTCGATTTATTGATTCATGTAAATGATTTTTTAGTGTTATTCGATTTATTAATTTCTATTCGACTGATAGTGTTTTTTTTTTTTTGTGTTTTTCTGTTTTACGAGGCTAGTGGTTTACAAGGTCATTTTAAAAGGTTTTTTTTCTTTTATTTAAAGGCATTCGTTTTAAAAGTGTTAATAACATAAAGAACCAAACCTGAGTTTTTTAGCTGCCATTATGATAGAATTCGTTAAAATCTCAAAAAGACTTTAGACCATTCTTAAGGTAATCTTAAGAGATGAAAAGTAAAAAAATAAACTAAAAAGCTAAAAATGATCTCTTAATCAAGAGCAAAAACTTGAAACTCTTAGAATTTTAGTACAAAAACATTGGTAAAAACAAAATTTAAGAGCTCTCCAATAATGTTGTTGTTACAATACCTGATGTCGTTCCTTTCAAATTCAATCATATCAACTCTTGAATATAAATTTAAATAATTGTATATATTAAGGATAAGTTAAATTAAGTCTTTTATATATATGAATGCTTTTGTTTCTTGTTGGCAGTGTAGTTCGGAGATTATAGATCAACGAATTAATCCTAAAAAGAAAAAAAGAAGATGAAAACACAATTTCCAGAGAGTTCTCGAGTGTGTTGCTGTCTTTCCCCCAAAATTCATAGGATATAATTTTTAATATTATCAAAGTTTTCCATCAACTCTATTATCGAACAAACCCCCAAAAATTGACCAATATATAATCAAACTAACACGTATAAATTCAATACGTACGTATATTAAATGATATTTGCATGAAGTCTTACGTAAGTGTCTTATAAGTGGCAACATCAACTGCACAACCATTACGATTTCGTATCGAATTATATCGTTTTATATATATATATGTGGACGAAAGGATCTTTGGTTCTTTGTCTGCTGACTCTGCTCCTTTCAACTGTTTAGAGTTCAAAGGATTTTGTTTATACGTAACGAATGAACACACACACATATATATATAAAATGCAAAAAGCCAAAAACTATACATGATTTCTATATTTTCTTTCTTCTTAAAGCTATCCGCTTGGATAAATAACTATTCAGTAAATAAGGCAGGTACGTGGTCTTGTTGTTGCCAAACTGTTACTCGAAGTTGATGGTGTGTGTGCATTTTCTAATTATGGGAGAAAAATGCATATCATCTCATGTGATTGGTTTCTAACCTATAAAACTTTTTCAAGTTCATTATGACTTAAACAGTGGACATTTCTTGAATGGAACCGTTTTTCTAATGAGTAATAACCATTCCATGATCATCTTTTTTATGAGATGTTAATATGTTTAGTTAGTCCCCACGACGCCTAATGCTCTAAACAAATATGAAATTGACTGCTACACAAAAGTATCAAATAACATAAAATCAAGTTTTATTGTCACTCGTATGTTGTATATATAGTATCAGTTGTGAACACAAATAATTTCGACATCCAAACGAACAATTACCTTTGGATCAACACAACTGTATTTAAGAATTGATGGTCGAAATCAATTTGTACCAACCATTAGAAACTAGTATATTTGTATAGAGAATCCTTTAAAGTTTTATGTAATCAATCAAATTAATAAGTTTGAATTGCTATTTTTGTTGCAGCTTATATTATGATATCATGCAGTATCCATCAGGGGCGGATCCACAGCCAAGATGGTGGGGGCAGCTGCCACCAGCAAAAAAAAAAAAGATAAAAAATAATATATAAACAAA